AGCCACCCCAAGTCCCTTCAGGAAGATGGTGGCGGGACATAAATAAAGTTTATTATTGTAATAATAATTAACAAGCTTAAAGCCTAATAATTTGCATCAAAACAACAATAAAGTTGGATAAAAGCTGCAGAAAAATAGAAAATGGAATCACCATAAATATCAGTATCAGGAAATCCTGGAGTAAATCTTCCCTTTGGTAGGATGGGCCTTTTTCTCTGTATCTGTTTTAATTTTTGTAAACTATCGCAACTTTCAGACTCAAAAGAAGGCAGGAATACAGCCATGGTTATGCTTGTCATTGTCATCATCATCATCATCCATATAGTGGGGAAAAACTAATTTGGTTTCCCATAGATACTAATCTCAGTAAAGGAAAAAACATAGCACAAGGAAACATTAACGCATATTGGGATTTAGGGAAGAATTTGGAAAAAGCAGTTGTCCAATTTTTTTATTGTGTCAGAAGCAACTTGAGAACATACTGCAAGTTGCTTCTGGTGTGAGAGAATTGGCTGTCTACAGAGATGTTGCCCAAGGGATGTCCAGATGTGTTACCATCCTGCTGGGAGGCTTCTCATGTCCCCGCAAGCTAGAGCTGACAGACAAGAGCTCACCTCATCTCGCAGATTCGAACTGGCAACCTTGAGTTCAGCAACCCAACCTTCCGGCACAAGGGTTTAACCCATTGCACTAGTATGGCTCTTACAGTTGTCTATTAAGATGTGTGCAATTCAGACCCTTTCAAGGTTTTATAGCAATCACCAGTATCTTGCATAGGCCCTAGAAATGAAATGAAGGTCAATACAGATGAGAAAGAATCATGACAATTAGCTCTCTGCAACTGATCTCAATCAAAATCTGGACCACATTTTGTGCTAAGGAACCCCCAGATGTCACAGATTTGCTTTCAAAAGCAGCAAATTATTGGTTACATAATGTTCAGTACACAGATATATGGACCAATTTAGCACAAGTTTGCTTTAGGATTATAAAGCATTGCAATCAGAAGGGAAAATGTAAGAATTGTAAAAGGTCCAAAATGGGCTCGTTTTTAAATGCGTAACTCATGCTAATAAAGCAGCTCTATGCTTTCTTTTTGATTAGATATTCTCTTTCCCATTTCCTTTTCCTATCAACCATCCATCTGTTTCTTGTATACCTTCCTCCCTGCAGACTTGGCCACATGTACTTGTTGGCAATCCTCCTACATTCATCTCCTAAAGCTTTCACTGTTAATAACTTGCTATTGTGCTGTCGACCTTCAACTAATAATAAACCTGTTTGACATCCAACTAGAGTGTTTGTGTGAGCTGTTTAGTATTGTTGGGACTGAGCTATGAAATTTGCCATCCACAATACACACAAAATATTATCTGAGGCTAAAACAGGAAGGAACGACCCCTTTTTGGTAGGCTCCCTTGCCCCATAGGACACTGCCAAGTGTCCCCAAATCCCCCAGGATAGTTTATTTTCTAATTTGCAGGAAAAATTTTTTTTATTAAATGGCCAAAGTTACACCAAAACATCCCCAAATGGGTTTTCTCATTTCCCTGTTGCATCTAGTAATTGGCTAAAATGGAAAACAGAAGTAACATCATAAAACGTGGAACCCCTGGTGGTGTAATGGGTTAAACTCTTGCACTAGCAGGACTGCTGATTGACAGCTCAGCAGTTTGAATTGGGGAGAGCTGGCTGAGCTCCCTCTGTCAGCTCTAGCTCACCATGCAGGGACATGAGAGAAGCCTCCCACAAGGATAGTAAAACATCAAACATCCGTGTATCCCCTGGGCAATGTCCTTATAGATGGCCACACTAGAAGCAACTTGCAGTTTCTCAAGTTGCTCCTGACATGGAAAAAAATCATAACATTTCCAGTTTGGTGAAAATGCAAAAGTGCAGGAGATACAAAAACTGCCGGCAACTGCCGATCCAACCATCCAGCCTCAGTCTAGGAAATAATGTATGTGACTCACATATGGGAATTCTGAAAAAGGACAGAATTGAAAAGATATATCATTGATTTTTCTATGGTACTTTTATCCCACTCTTCTCTCAATGGATTCAGAGTGATGCTGGGAAAAGACTTCTACAGATACCGTGTATTGTTAAAAGACAATTGTTCCTAGTGCAGATCAACCCTGAGCTTTCCCCAGGAACCAGGATGACTAAACTGAGATTGTTGTAGTTTGGATATCACAAGTCTCATTGGGAAGGAGAATGACACTTGGTAAAATAGAAGGCAGTAGGAAAAAAGAAAGGCCAATTATAGGTGGTTAGATTCAATCAAGGAAGGCACTGCCCTGAGTTTGCAAAACCTGAGCAGGGCTGTTGATGATTTAGAGACTTGGAAGCCTCTCGTTCACAGGGTTGCCATAAACTGAAGTTGCCTTTTCTACAATTAACAACAATAACCAAAACCACAAATGAATTATTCAACCAAAAATCTTTGAAAGGTTTCTATCATCCAATAGGCTACATATGGAAAAAAAGAGGAACCGTGGCGAAGAAAAAGTTAAGAAAAGTTATATTAAAACAACTATTTGGATAGATGCAAAAACTCTGTCTATATATTAAAAGACTTAGACTCATCAGATTTTTTACATAAGATTAATGCAGTGGTTCTCAAATTTTAGCCCTCCATATATTCAGGACTTCACCACACAGAATTTCTTAGCCAAGATGACTGGGATTTTAAACCCCAGACATCTAGAGAACCATTGGATTAGTGTATGAACATCGGAAACAGTGATTTTGTTCTTCTTTTTAATCCAAAATTTAGAGAGAAATATGAAAACTGTGAGGGGTCAATGTGTGTGTGAGAGAACAGATGTCACTGTTACCATTCTTTAAAAATAGACAGCTTCAAGAATGACAAGTTATTTTTGGATGATCAAAGTCTGATTGCATGGGTGGATCACTATTGCATATGCCAACGCTTTACCACTATCCATGGTGTTCAGTGGAATTTGACACACATAACTGGAATGAAAATAGCTTCCAACAAGATACCAAGGATCTTGTAATTCTGAGAAAGAAACCAATATATGCATAGCACTGGCAAAATGCTACCCAGGTGCTGGTTTGATAAAAGATCATATTGTACTGAAGCTAATTCAGGAAAGATACTGATTCTATCCCATTCACACACACATAAAGTTATACAACTTGGTTTTTGAGGAATTTTTGCCTCTGAGGCTTTTTAAAGCATCTATGAAGAGAGAGCCCCCGGTGGTGGAGTGGGTTAAACTCTTGTGCCGGCAGGACTGAAGACCAACAGGTCAGAAGTTCAAATCCAGGAAGAGCAGATGAGCTCCCTCTGTGAGCTCTGGCTCCCCATGCGGGGACATGAGAGAAGCATCCCACAAGGATGGTAAAACATCAAAACATCTGGGCGTCCCCTGGGCAACCTCCTTGCAGATGGCCAATTCTTTCACACCAGAAGCAACTTGCAGTTTCCTGTTACCTACCTTCTGTCATGTATCGTGTTCCACAGTTGATGGTGGTTGGTGGGGGCAGGCTTAGCAGCTGGTGATGGAAGGGTTAATGTAAGACTTAGTTCTAAAGGGCTAAGTAATCTGTAAGTAAGAATTTATGGGTGAAAGCAATTAAGGGTGGAGGCAGGCAAGAGATAGGTTCCAGCTGGATGTTACCTTGGGACTGATCTTTGGGAGAAAAGTATTTTTTTTATTTTGGTGGTAGATGCTGCTGGTTTCCCCCAGGTTTGTGGATTTTTGGTATTCTGGCCTGTCTCCTGAACTCTTATAAGCCTGGAACCTTGAATCTCTGGACTGGCTTTTGACTATGATATAGATTCTTGATCTTTGGACTTTACTCATTGAACTCTTGGCGTTTGACCACTGGACTGGACCCTTTGACTATGTGGTTCTCTTGAACCTGTATTAGCGTTTGCTATCGGTTTTTGTTTTATATTCTGTGGCTGAGTGCTATCTTTAATCTTTTGCACTATTAAAACAGCCAGAACGTAAGTATTGCTTTAATTAAACAGTTTGATACAAACTGGCTTTTTGTTTAGTTCACCGCTGCCTGTATACTGGCAGAGCCCTGACATCATGACACTATCCATCTTTTCTACATCAGGCATCATAGAATCATAAATTTATAGAATCATAGAGTTGGAAGGGATCACAAGGACCATTTAGTCCAGTCCCCTTCCATGCAGGAATGACCACCTAAAGGACTCCTAAGAGATGGACATCAACCTCTTTGAATCAACCTCTTTGAATCTCCACTAACTGAAGCAGTCTATTCCATTGTTCAGAAACTCTTACAATAAATAAGTTTTCCCTAATGTTTAAATTAAAACTTTTTCTTGTAATTTGTATTGGTTCATAATCTAGTCTCAGGAGAAGCACTACATGAGATCACTTACCCTTTACATATTTAAAGATGGCTATAGTGGCACCTCTTAGACTTCTCTTCTGCAAGTTATACACACCCAATTCGCAAGTCTGTTCCTCATTTTATATACCTCCATCACAGTCCTCTTTCTACTTACCCTTGTTCTAAGCTGAAAGCCCCTGAAGTATTTTCTTCATTAACAGAGTTGTGCCTGCCTCTTGATCACTTTGGTCATTGTCTGCACTTTTCTCAGCTCTCTCATGTTGACATACAGGTATTCACAGTTTTCCCAGTGTGATAAATTGTATAAAACTATTATGACACTGGCAGTTTTATTTTCCATACATTTCCAAATGTGCCACAACATATCTTCCTTTTTCAAGGCAGCTCCACACTGAATCAATATTTTCATCAAGCTCTCCAGCACAAACCCGCAAATTAGTTTCCTAGTCAGCCATTACCACCTCAGTCCTCTAACAATATATACACCATCTTTGTGGTATGGTTGCAGCAGTAATTTCCTAACCATCCCGATATTTTGGATTTCTCACTCACCCAACATAAAACTACAGAATAGTCTTTATTATGATCATACATATTACTGCATATGAAACATATAATTGTTTCCACACATCACCTACCTGTCAAACAGCTCTCCTCCAGTGACGAGTTCTAAGACAAGGCTGATTTCTGCAGGAGTTTCAAATATTTCCTTCAACTTTATCTGAGGAAAGCACAAAATAAGGAATTGTCTTTTTCCCCCCTCTTCATACACTTTAAGGCGAACCATAAGGAAATAATAATGAAAATGAAAGTACCTATACCAACTGTTTGCTCTCAAAGTTTGCATATTTTCTCATTCTTAACTGAGATCTGTCTTTCATGCTCTCTAGAGGTTTTGTATTCTTACAGCTGAACAGTCCACTATTAAATGGGGCAATGAAGAAAGTGCTCTTCTAAGAGCTCTTTGATGTCACTACTTGAAATCTCTCAAAAGCACAATGGAAATAATTTTGTGTAATATCATGAGCTTCGCAGTAAGAAATTCATAGAATAATAATAAAATAAAAGGAACATTGTATCAATTATCTATCAGAAATCTTTGGTCATCTAACTATTAAGTTAAAGAAAAACTATTCGTTTTTATCAGCTGCAGAATTTTTCTCCATCTTTGTGATATGACTGCAGCAGTAATTTCATATTTGTCCTAAGTGTGATGGAACAGGATACTGTAAGGACTGAAAAATGATGGGCCCATAATGCAGACATGCAAGCAAGCACAAATGCTATGATTTAGGATGTAAAAACATCTCACTTACAATATTTGGATGTGAAAGTCGAAGTAGAACACCTATTTCTGTCCGGACAATCTTCTTGTCTACCTAGTTAAAAGGAAAAGTATGTAATAAGTTGTTGTTATGAATGTTAAACAGATTTGATTGTAGCACTTCTATGTACACTTGTTAGCAAACAAGCCCCCATAGAATTCAAAGTTATAGGTCAGGCTGTAACTTAAGAATTGGACATATAAGCAAAGCACTGCCATTCATTAAAGAAAATTCAAGGAGTTTAGTGGGAGAAATATACAAATATGGTTGAAATCAGATCAAATGCTTGTAAGATTGAAACACTCCAGAGAGTAAATGCAGCAAAGTTATGGTACTCTGAAATAAACGGTCTACCAAATGTTGTCAAGGTAAAACTCAGCAGCGCAAGAAACAGAAGGGGACTTTAGCCAAATAACTGATTTTTTTTTAAAAGGAAAGTTGAAATTAACTATCAGATGGTGTTCACTTTGGGTTCTTGAAAGGCATAAATAATGGAAGCATATGCAACATTCCAGTTTTTATTGATGACTTTGATGAACAACTGGATTACATCAGAGATCTTTGAATATAAGACAAGATATACACATTTCAATAAATCAGTATCATGTGATCTACACTATAGATATAGAAAGCTGTAAAGGTAAGTAGGGAAAAGAAAGAGCGGGGAGCTCTTGCACTGAGGGTGCTGTGGTAGCAGTGTGATCTACAATTCATGGTCTTGATTGCATGGCTGAGGAATTTGAAGACATAAAACAATACAATTGGGTTCCTCAAGAATCTAGTCATTAATCAGTGGTTCCCAACCTTTTCTTGGCTAGGGAACGCTTTGACCAGGGACTCTCCAAGGTTAGTACTAAAAGCATTACGAATCTGTTTTTGGACAGCTTTAGATTCAGTTTGGTTATTTGGGGTGCTGATTCAGAAAACTGCATTGCATAGACAATATCTAATTTCTGATACACAACATATGCCATCCAGTAATCACCATCTGCTTGCCCACAGAAAACCATATTTAATAATCTAGAGCCACAGACCTTATTTTAGGTCTCACGGCCCACCAGTGGCCATCAAAGGAACATGGAATTTACATGGGTGCTTCCTTCAATTTATGAGGTGTGGGCAGCTGAATGGGTCCGGATCTAGCCCGATCTACTGTTCACTTCATGAATGAACCCATCAAAAACCAACTCTCTGCCCCGAGGTGTGGTAGAGGCTCCTTCTTTGGAGGCTTGTAAACAGAAGCTGGATGGCCATCCGTTGGGGGTGCTTTGAATGCTTCTTGGCAGGGGTAGGACTGGATGGCCCATGAGGTCTCTTCCAACTCTATGATTCCTGAGCTGCATTGGATCAGCTCTGCAATCCTTTGTATTGGATTTTTCTGGTAAGTACCCTTAGTCTACAAATGTTTATGCTACCAACTTAATTCTCTCACTCTCGAAGAGGCTACAAGATCCCTTTGCATACTGATTCCAAATTAATACAATGCTGTCTTTGAAGACTTCCCTCCTGTTTCATTGGTTTAAGCAGTCTTTTGGTTCATTTCAGCATTTACAAACTACACATTTCTTAGATAGCAGTGACCCTCTTGTGCTAATATGTCACAGGGAATTTTCTTTTTACAGCACTTGAAGGTTAATTTTAGCAATGTGCTCAAAGACAGAATTTCATATTACTTGTTTTGATGTTCATGAGAGAGGTTGCTCCTCTGCGAGGCAAGCCATGCTCTGTGCAAAGCTTTACCTTATAAAATGAAACAAGGTGATTGAAACAAAGAGAAAGGGGAATAACTGCTGGAGGGCGAAAAGGAGAGAGAAAAGGAAGTATGTGAAAAATACTTTATTTTTTTCAACAAAGAACAGTTGCTTCGTTTGCTGTTTCTTCACTCAAGATTAATATTGCATGTCTCTGTAGAGCTCATCATATAGTTTGACAATGTACAGATTTCATTACACAGTCCTTCAGTACACTCTGCAAAGCCTTGCAGGTGTTATTTGCAGTTGTTACAATACTAAAAAATAAAATAATCATGCAATGGGAAAAGCTTCAGAGAGAAGAGTAAAGTGACTGGCTTCTGGCTTACCAACAAATGATATGTATGTCCTTTTTCATATTGCTATATCCCTGGTTATATATGAATGAATTGTTTATTGTACCAGCCATAGGTACTTTGGCCACATAATGAGAAGACAGGAAAGCTTGGAGAAGATAATGATGCTAGGGAAAATGGAAGGAAAAAGGAAGAGAGGCCAGCCAAGGGCAAGATGGATGGATATCCTTGAAATGATTGGCTTGACCTTGAAGGAGCTGGGGATGGCCATGGCCTACAGGGAGCTCTGGCGTGGGCTGGTCCATGAGGTCAGGAAGAGCTGGACATGACTGAACAAATAAACAACAAACCAGCCATATACTGACTCTTTAAAATTATAGTAGCAGTGACATGATAACAATAACAAACATCTGATTTGTATAATCCCAAACTATCTCCATTTCCATTTTTGATTATATATGTATTGCTCTCTGACAGGTATTTAAAAATCTAGGTTTTTGTTCAAGAGAGTTACATGTAAATGAACAAAAGTGATCTCCCAAGCCACTGTTGTTGAAGACGTACCTTTCATTTCTATAGGCAACTGAAAGAACACATAGCCTCAGATGTTATTGGATTGCAGCTCCTGTCAGCATAGCAAATGGGATGGATGATGGACGTTGCAGTTCATCAGTAATTGGGAAGCCACATGTTTCCACTCCTACCCCATGGCTAATATACATGTAGTTGAAATTCATGCTTTACCATTATACTCAGGCAAGAGAGTAAGGTCCAACAAATTTTTGCTAGCCTTGCATACAAATTTCATTGTACAAAAGGTGGAGGAAGCAACAAAAGGATCACATATTTTGAATTGATCCTCATCAACAGAGATTTTTTCAATTGCGTGGAAACAGTAGGAGCTTTCGATGGGAGTGACCATGTCCTCTTGGGATCTGTTAGAGAAGTGACTAGCAAAGTGCTTAGTGTTAACGTCTTTATAAATTACTTTAATGATGGAGTCAGAAGGTATACTTATCCAGATCACACGAATTAGGACAGGGATAGCTAATATCCCAGTGGACAGGAGCAGAATTCAAAATGACCATGACAGATTGGTCAGCTGGGCCAAAATGAACAAAATTTGCTATAGGGATAAATGTAAGATATTACCTCTAGGCAGAAAACAATGAAATGCACATAAGATGGATGCCACCTGGCTTGAAAGCAGTACATGTGAAAAGGATGTAGCAATCTTAGGACCACAAGCTAAACATGTTTCTACAGCAGTCAAAATGTTAGTGTGATTCTGGACTGCATCAACAGGAACACAGTGTCCATATCAAGGGCTGTAGCAGTGCCTTTCTATTCTGCTTTTGTCCGATCTCACCTGGAATACTATGTTTATTTCTGAGCACCACATTTCAAGGACACCAACAAGATAGAATGTGTTCAGAGAAAAGCAACTAAAATGATCAAAGATCTGGAAACCAAGCCTTACCAGAAACAACTTAGGGAGCTGGGTATATTTGGCTTGGAGATGAGAAGACTGAGAGATGACCAGACAACCATAGTTAAGTATCTGAAGGAATATCATGGGATGAACTCTTCTGTTATGGAGGTCTGTCATCAGAGTCCATCATGTTATGGAGGTCTGCCATCAGAGCACATCATGATGGGCATTTTTAGGGGTGCTTTAGATGTGTATTCCTGCATGGAACAGGGTTGGACTAGGTAGCCTTTCCATACTTTTGCAGTTCTAAGTTTCTATGATTCTAACATAAATTTGAATAGGACTTAGCCAACGTTGTGTTTAGTACAAAATTCGTTGTGCACATATGTGCATACACAAGTGTAAGCCTTGTGTTCTCATTTGAACAAATCTCCTATTTCAATAAAAAGGACAGTCCATAGAAACAAATGGGCACACAAGCACCTACTCCATTGAAAAGAGTCAAACATGTTTAACAGAGTTGCTTCAGCAGCAGATCTAATTACTATAGTTACCTAGAAATACTAGAACTGAGCAAGTGTATTTTGTGGGTCTTATTTTTCTAAACCAATGACTACTCTACCTATTATGAAGAATATATAAACAAAGGAATACCTTTTCTTCAAACAACTTCTTTAGAGTTGCACAGAGCTCTTCAGCAGGCAACTCCTGAAACAATATTTACAGGTTATGATAATACTATCACAATAAATAACTTTCTGACTCCTACTTTGCCTTTGCCCAATGAATGCATTGGAGCTCATTGACAGGACTGTTTTTTAAAAAAGTATTTAAAGTACATGCTTCAGTGTACTTTTGAAATTACAATAATTCAACAGTTAGAGGAGCCCCTGGTGGCGCAGTGGGTTCAACCGCTGAGCTGCTAAACTTGCTGACTGAAAGGTTGGCAAATTGAATCCAGGGAGCGAGGTGAGCTCCCGTTGTAGGCCCCAGCTTCTGTCAACCTAGCAGTTTGGAAACATGCAAATGTGAGTAGATCAATAGGTACCGCTTCTGTGGGAAGGTAACAGCGCTCCATGCAGTCATGCCGACCACATGACCTTGGAGGTATCTACGGACAACACTGACTCTTTGGCTTAGAAATGGAGATGAACACCACCCCCCCCCCCCCCCCCCCCAGAGTTGGACATGACTAGACTTAATGTCAAGGGGAAACCTTTACTTTTAACAGTTAAAGGAAATTTATTTAACCAATGTTATTTGTTTGTATTAAATATCACATATGTATTTAGCGATACACATATACAACTCTAACCAATTATAGTGCATGTATGAATTACTCTGCAAAACATATGCTTATCATGAATGTTTATATTTCAGACATATATTTCAGAGGAATACAATCAGTGCACTGATTGTATTCCTCAATGCTGAAAGCCTAATTTAATTAAAAGTATGAAATATATTTTATCAATGATAAAGAATATTAACATGATTAATCCTATTATTTTTTTATAAACTTGAAGTCAGTAGGATAGTGGGGAGAACCGGAGACGTATAGGTTGTGTCCTGGGAGAAAGCTGGAATATAAACAAAAGCTATATTTTTCATTTGCAACAAAGTAAGGAAAATTTTTGCTACCTATTCTCTTTTTACAAAATTCTGTTTTGGTGGTCGTAAAACTAGCTTGGACCTCACATTACTTAATTCCAAGAGTAGCAAATATGAGAGAAGGCAATTTCGAGCAGAGAAATAGCAGACAGAGAAATATTTAAGCATGGTTTTCTACTCTGCTGCCAGGTTCCCACTCATGAAGCTGATTTCTCAAGGGAAGGAGGGAGGAAGCCAGAGCTTTGTTATGTGCATTTACACATAACTTTGTAGTTCGACAAAAGGAAGAGACTTTTCCTGACCAGGTTCAGCTCCTGTCACATTCACCTGAATAATTCAGTGCTGTGCTCTTTAAAATTCTGCCTTTGGAATAGTATTCATTCAATTGAAAAACAAAATCAAAGCATTACTGGATTTACCTGTACTTGGAGGAACAATCACCCATTAAAGTTTGTCTTTCATGTTTTTCCTTTTTTTACTTTTGGTGTTTTGTTTGTCCCTGTACAGTTTTTAATTCAAGGTGTCTGGAAACTGGGGTGGCAATAGAAGTTGTGCAGGGAAGAGGGAGATATGGTGATGGCAGGGTCACATCTCTTCATAGAGCAGTGGTTCTCAACCTGTGGGTCCCCAGATGTTCTGGCCTTAAACTCCCAGAAATCCTAACAGCTGGTAAACTGGTTGGGATTTTTGGGAGTTGTAGTCCAAAACTCCTGGGGGTCTACAGGTTGAGTACCACTGTCATAGAGGAAGGAGAGAAAGGTGTTTAATACCTATTCCACCTTCCAGTCACCCTGCCAGCCTGGGGAACTTGGAGAGTGAGCCAGACCACCCACAAAACCTCACTTTAATCTTAAATAATGCCAGGTCAGTCAAGAATAAGACACATATCATCTATGGTCTCAGGGATGAAGGGGCTGACGCGGCATGCTTCACTGAAACTTGCCTTGGACTTTTGCAATGCACTTTACATTGAGCTACCATTGTATCAAGTTTGAAAACTTCAGTTGGTTCAAAGTATGGCAGCCAGAACGGTTACAGGAACATCCAGAAGTGAGCATATTACACCTATCCTTAAGTCACTCCACTGGCTGCCAATTAGTTTCTGGGCAAAATACAAAGTGTTGGTTTTGACCTTTAAAGCCCAATATGGTTTGAGTCCAGGTTACCGAAATGATCAACCTCTCACATCCAATTTGCCCTGCATAATTTCTGGGGGGCGTCTGCTCCAGCCTGCCAGAACTTGACTGGCTACCATCACCCAGAGGACCTTTTTATTGGCTGCCCCAAGACTGTGGAATGACCTGCAAAAGGAGCTCCAACAATTAGATCAGCAGTTGGAAGTTAAAAACCATCTAAAAACCTATCTCTTCCAGCAGGCCTACCCAGCCAGTGGGAAGCATAAATTTTAAACTCATGTCATGTGTTTTGGTCTCTGTCCTGTGTGATTAATGTGTATTTTACATAAATGCTTTGATCTGCATTTTGATGGAACTGAATGTTAATGTGTGTTTGGATAATTTGTATAGTATTTGTGTGTTTTTAACTGTGCTGTGACCCACCTCAAGTCATGGAGAGAGGTGGGAACGAATTATTATTATTATTATTATTATTATTATTATTATTATTATTATTTGAAGGAACTGGGGGTGGCCATGGCTGACAGCTAGCTCTGGTATGGGCTGGTCCATTAGGTCACAAAGAGTCTGATGTGACTGAACGAATAAAGAACAACAACTATTATTATTATTATTATTATTATTATTATTATTATTATTATTGGAGCAATGCTTACTTCATTAACAATATAAACATGGCAAAGTGTTTTCTAGCATTAATCCCCTCCCCCAAATTTTAATTGACCTATGTTTTTATAACCCTTATGGTAAATAAAATCTATTAGTCCTTAAATTACCACAAGACTGTTACTTTTGCTGCAAATTGATTTAAAAGACCCATCTGTCACGAATATTAAGATGGCCATGCTTTCTCTAAATAAAAGGGAAAGGAATGGAAGTTCCCATCTTTATACTAAACAACATTTGATATTTTACCAGCTATCACTTACACAGAGCCAAAAGCCACGCTACCTGCAAAAATGTGTAATGAAATCTAACAGCCAATTTCTGTAAAGAGCCCCTTTTTCATCCCTGCCTTCCTCCTTCAAAGAAGTGGACAGTGAATGGTGCTGAATTGGGCATTCGGGCAGGGAATGTGGCCAAAATGTCATTCCTTTTCATAGCTGAAAGGATTAGGCAGCAATCACACAGGGATAATATATGTGGAATCAGAATACATAATAAGACAACAGTTAGCCTAGTTTTGAACAATAATCATTATTTTGAAGCTATTGCACTCAATGACAGAATTGGTGTTTCATTTCCCTTTTTCCCCCAAAGTGGCCAAAAAGGAGCAAATAAACAAAAGTTATTGCGTGTTATGTTAGAAGAAAGGGGAGAATCATGTATCAATAATGCAATTGTGTGCATGTCTGAGCAGAAATAATCTTTGCAGAGTATAATTGGACATTATATGATGCAAATCTTGTTGACAAATCAGCCAAATTAATCCATAAAACAAAAAGGGAGATGGGAAACCATATCTTGAAACCATTTATCCTCAAATTGTGGGCTCAATTTCATACAACTTTTGATGGAATTGCTGTTTCTTGTCAGAAGGATCGTGTTAGTAAGGACATTTTGCAATGAGAATTAGGAATCACATGTACAAATGTTGTTGGACTACAGTTCCCTGCATTCCATGCCATTAGCTACACAGCCCAGGGATCTGCAGTCCAGCCACACACTTCCCATTCCTGGTTTTAATGTTGATCTTTAAAGTCATGTCATGTCATGACATGCAATCTGCTGAAAATGTACATGCCTATCAATCCAATCAGTTACTGTGGCACATAGCACTTCAAAATATTTTTTTCATGCTGAGCTTAATGGTTTTTGGTGGATTTTTTTTTGTTCTGAACTCTTATAATGGTGGATTGATTTCACTTCTTGTTGTCTTAGCCGTGTTCTTAACTATAAGTCATTTGTAAGTTGGATGTTTGTAACTGCCTGTATCCTGCTTCATGTCATCATAGAGCTATTCCTCATGGCATCACAACAGATAATATCTAGGTCTCACATTTTGATCCCGAACACTTGAGAGATTTGACCTGGCAAATCTCTCAAGCAGCACAATGTCTTGGGATTGGTCTATACATTAGAACATGCCAATGTATCTTCCTTGCTCCTCCTTCCACATTTAGTAATTTAGAAGCTCCCTTGCTTATCTTAATTTGGCACCAGATTCTAGAGCAACTGTTCTGAGACATTTTCATATGATTATGTTATCACTGATTCTGATGAATCTCCTAATTGTATTTCTTTTGAATTTTTAATCCTAATGCTATTTTTATAATAACCATAAAAGGTTCAGTATTGAGAGAGTATCTGACAGCAAATGTGCATCTCTCAAATTACTCCATACTCACTAAGCTGAAATAATGCCTGCCATTAACCTACATATAAGAGAAAATAATAATCTTCTAAATTGACTCTAATTTTAAATTATTCTGAATTTCTGATACATGAAACACCCTCTGACAAGAAAAAAAATCAAATTATTGACAATTTGCTGCTAACTTCAACAGTGTTATTGCCTCATAGGCCAGTTTTACAGAAATAAGTGTTCTTTTTCCTTTTCCAACATGGGTCTTGCAGTGACCCATGTTTTCCTGTTCTCCTGTATTAAAGTTTCCACTTCTAGCAGTGCACTGGGATCAAATGAGTAAGTCTTATAAGTAGATAGATACACACACACGTGTGTGTGTCTTTCCGTCTGTCTTTCTGCTTGTACCACAAAGACTGTTGCTAGGTGAAGTGGCCCTTTGTAATACCACTGGGAAAGAAATATGACATGTGTATGAAGGGATAGATGGAAATATGGAAAGAGCCACAAAGAGAGCTATATTGTCAAAGAGATATTGTGAGGAGGCCCTCTCAGCTGGAAAAGGGAGAAAGGGAAGGGAAAAGAAGGAAGGAAGGAAAGAAAAGGAAGGAAAGAAGGGAGGGAGGGAAATAAAGGAATGGAGAAGGAAGAAATGGAGGGAGGGAGGAAGAAAGAAAGAAAGAAAAAGAAAGGAAAGAAAACAGAAAGGAAAGGGGAAAATGCATAATGGTGGGAAAGGAAGGAAGGAAGGAAAAAGGAAGGGATGAAAGAAGGGAGAGGTGGTCCATCCGACACTCAGACAATGCTGGGCATAAATACTAGTACAATAAATAACTTAATCTGTAGCTCTTTTCTTTTTTGTAAATCTGCCCCACAATTTTCTTCACCAGGACCCTATCGATATGGCATCTTCTACTAAACCGTTGCCTCCCACCCCTTTGTAACATACAGACAGAATACAGACAAACAATTGTACAAAATACACTTCCAGTTCTACTAACTGGAGGAGTTGAGATAATACCCGCCTCTCTCTCTTTACAAGCCCTGAAGATGTCTCCATGCACATCTAGCTATCAACAGATGTTTACATTTACAATAGTCAGAAGAAGCCCCCAAATATATAGTTCCATTATCTATTGAGGCCTCAGGTTCAGAGCCCCCATCCATTTTGACCTCAGGCCGATGTTGATGTTGGCATTTTCTCTTTTAGAGACCAATAATGGGAAATGAGAGGTCAAGACCTGCTGGGAAGAAAACCAATGCAAGACAGTGCATGTGTCCTGCCATGACTGGTTGTGTTTCAGAAGTAAACTGGATACAGTGGCTCCATGGCAGATCTTCCTGTCAAGCCATGTACAGATTACTGAATTTCTCTGGGAACAGAATCTGCAGGCTCTTCACGTACAGATTATCAACTCTAGCTAAGGGAGGCTGGGGATTCTATACTGGCTGGTCTGTGCACTGATTCTGTATTTTATTACACATTATCTGAAACAGAACATGCAGCAAAAAATAAATAAACCTATGAACAAGGAGAAAATGGAACTCACAGTTTTGTTCAATATTTTGACAGCAAATGGCTTTTGTGTTCCCTTCTGTCTGCATCTGTAGACAATAGAGGTAGCACCCCTGAAATAAAAGAGAATACCAATTTGTATTCAGGTATGTTGCATGTACACACACGCACACACGCATACAATAGTATATGTTAGAGAACACACTGATTATTTTCAAAACCAATGCTATATGCATTTTCAATTTTGATTCAAACGTTTTTCAAAGCTATTCCTTTATAAGCAACATGATCACTAAGTATTTCATCTCCTTTCCATTGGCAACAGAGGAATCAATCTCAACAAAGACTTTAGCAGAAGTGACATTGTAACTTTTCTGCCAGAATGGAAAACTTTTTCATTACTGATTTTTTCTGCTCTGCAGGAAAGTTATAATTTCACTGTCAGAATGACTTTTGACACATTGGAAAATGTAATCTTCAACTGTCATTCTTAATAATTTCTTAGGGGTTTTTTTTAGTTTGCAATTTTCATACATTGCTCTAAAAAAGCAGCAACAGAATTAGGTGATTTGCTGGTGTTATTTGGAAGAGCCATGAAGATCCCTAACACATTGGGGTATCTACCATTATTCTAGTCACAGGATTGCTACTTTGTAAATATTTTGCCAAGACTTCTAGTTGCTATTTGGGCAACAAAATTATATTTACTAGATTAGATATTTTGAAAAAGCACAGGAAAATGACTGGAATATGCATTGTCCAAAAGCATATGTTTACTACATAAATGACATTCACGTCTATTGACACATTTGAAATGGTTATACAGAAATGGAGAGAGAAAAGGGAACTGAATTCAAAAACTGGACAAAAGGACAGGTAGATCTGACATGGGAAGATGCTGAGGTCATTTTAGAGGATTTTTTAATCATGTCAGAAGCAACTTGAGAAACTGCAAGTCACTTCTGGTGTGAGAGAATTGGTCGTCTGCAGAGATGTTGCCCAGAGGACGCCCAGATGTGTTACCATCCTGTGAGTGACTTCTCTCATGGCTGAAAGATGGGAGCTCACCCCATCTCATGGATATGAACCGCTAACGTTCAGGTCAGCAGTTCAGCCAGTTCAAGGGTTTAGCCCATTGCACCACCATGGCTCTTATTTTAGAGGATGTTGTAATAGCTAAAGTGAATACCCAGAAGGAAAATGACCTTTGGGTTATTTCAGTAAAGGTGAAGGAGTTAACTAGGCAACCAACTCAATGAATTATAAAAATGTGCAGTTGATAGAGTGGAAACACCCCCTGTCCGCACAGCAATAGTTTCTTTTCTTCTCTTTCAAGCAATAACATTTACTGGTAATCTATCCTTCCTCAAGACAGAGCAAATTCCTTTCTCAAAAGCTTGTACATTACATGCAAATCTCATTCACTAATTTCATTTCTGAGAAGGGTATGCAGAAAGACAATAGAAAAAAATAGTCTTTGGATTTGGAAATTGGGCATATGTAAGGTCCCCATGAATTATCCAGAAAAGGGTCTTATTTAAAATGACAGGTATGTGCAGCATCAACTCAAATGTTAGATTGACTAGTAATCTCATTCCTTCTTACTTGTCTTAAGCAGCCTACTTTTCTTTTTCTAAAAAAACAAGACATAATTGATTTGTTGTCACTTTTAGAAACAATATTATGACAATCTGGTACATTGACCGGGGAAGTGGTAGGTTATACCCAGGAATTTAGAAAATCAGCCCGATGCACGGCCAGCTTCAGTAAACTGCAATACCTTTTGGAGGCTTAAAGATTAGCAATGAAGACAACAGATACGTTTACACTGAACACAGAGGAAGGGCTTCTGGAGTTTTCTGTGGTTCCAAAGTGCTTGGATAACTATTTCTAATTGTTTGTGTACCTCAGGTAAAATCAGAATGCAAAGAGGAGTTCGAAAAACATTGGTGCCCAAAACTAACAGAGGTTGGGAGCAGAAGTGTTTTGGATTTTGGAATTTTTGGATTTTGGAATACCTATACTTGCATTTATGTATATAATAAGATACCTTGGAGATGGGACTAAAGCCCAAACCCAAAATTTATTTATGTTTTATATATACCATAAACACAAAGCAAGAAGGTAACTTTATACACCATCTTATACACAATCTTTCAAATAATGTTATGCATGAAACAAAGCTTAAATACATTAAACTATCAGAAATCAAAGGTGTCACTATCTCAGCCACCCAAATTTGGATTTTGGAGTATTGTACATTATAGAATTGAAGGTAAGGGATGCTCAATATGTATCAGGACAATCAGCGTTTTATTAAACAAATCCAATATCACAAAATACTGTGTAAGCTTTCAACTTCAGTTTTTTATTTCAGATTTGCTTCTTTCTCCCTTTTTCCTTGTTAACAACATCCGTGGAGAAGGCTCTAACTCAGATAATTGGTGCTAATCTGTGGAGGGAAGAGTCAACAATTTAGCAATTTCCATATGCTGTTCTGCTGATTGAAATAGGACACAGACAAACACTGTTTGTCCTGCATAGGAGAATTTCATGAAAAATTGTCTGATTTGGTTATTAACAGGAAAAAATTGTGTTCTTTTAGGTTTTAGATATATGACTTTTATTTCACCAAACTGATTTTCAAGTCTGGTCATATAGGTTGGGCTGTCACCACCATTGATTTATCTGTGTGCCACTTTTTGTAGGAAGTCACACACAATGCATTTCACATTAATTAGGTAATGTCCAAAGAACACACAAAAAGATGTTCTGACTGAATGAACAGCAAAAACAAAATACTTCAAAAATTACTGAACAAACTTCAGTCTCTCCTTCTCTCTTTGCAAATCACATTATATCACCTCCAAAACATGTCACAGTATATAAAAGACCAATATAGAAATCTTTGTGTAAATCAAATAAGCTCACCAAGCCAACTATTTCACCTTTATGGTCTAATGACAACAAATATATGGCCTAGATCTAAAGACCAGTTCAGACTTGTCCTAACTCAGTGGGACGTTTGTCTTTTCTACTTTGAATATCTTCTCCTTCATTTCTCCATGTCATACTTAAAACTGCCTTTCAAACTCATTTCATTTTTGAAAACTATTTGTCATACAACATGAAAGATAATTGATGGGAACTCTACCTCTCCCTTCAATATATAAAGCAGCTTTGTGTTTCCATGGAGCCTTGTTCATATATAAACATTATCTAGTGCCTGTCCAGCAGTCAAAAAGAAATAGCCAATTTTAATGCACCTGTGTGTTTAGTTTAGAGATGCAGGCAGGGGCAAAAGGCTGGTGTATATCCCATTTTAATGAGCTATATGACCATTGTATTTAAATCAATGTCAATGCACCAGATTTGGGGACGTGGGAGGCAAGTTTGCACCTTGAAAACAACACTGTAAAAAGTCTGAAAACTTCTTTCATTTTGATCAAGTGGAAATTAATTTATTTTCCTTTTTTGACACATCTTTGTGAACTTACTGTAACAGATTTCTCAAATTATGTCCAGTTAGCTTAAAGCAACATCATTCATTCGTATTTAATATTCATTGCTATTTCGGTTTAAGGAAATTTATTAAACAAATGTTATTTGTTTGTCGTAAATATCACAGATGTATTTAATGACACATATATTCAACTCTAACCAATTATATAAACCAACATCTGCTAGCAAGAACTTTAGATATTTTCTAATTGTGCAAGTAGTATGGAACAGAAGATTACAAAATTATTTGTTAAAGCAAACTTGTCTCAGTAAAAGATAGGAATTTTAACAAACCATAGCAAATGTTTGTATTAATAAGCCACTAAATATAAGAGCAGAGCTGAAAAAAGGATTTTTTTGTACTATAATTCCCAGAAACCCCAGCCAACCAGTTAAAAAAATTAAAGGCTGTTGGCTGCATCACATCTTACTGATTAGAAACAATGCAAAGACAGACAGATTCCTGCAGTGGCAGCCACTTTATGCAGTGACCTCTTCTATATAGTGCTAACATGTTTTCGGTGTTGATTGAGAATGTATCTTTTTACATTGCCAAATGTATTGTTTCGGTCATGAACTGTCTCACATTTCATCTCAACAAAATTTTATTGGTTTCCTTTATTATTTATGTAGTTATTTGCAAACCATGTTGGAATTTCAACAAATGAGAAGCAATTCACAAATATTTCTATATTCAAGAAGTGAGTAAGATGTGTTAACTCTGTAAAAAATAAAACACAGAGTTCAGTAATACGGATCACTGAAATATGACACAAGTCGTACAAAAGGTGGTGTGAGCTTTGCAGTTCTCAGGAATGGTTCACTGGACAAGATGATACAAAAATAGTGGGGGAAGAAGTAGAAAGTTCAGAAGTCAGTTATGGGGTACCAACCATTGTGCCTCTCTCTCTGTTAGTGGCAAGAGCTACAGTGGAGGCTCTGTAAAGAGTAATGGTGTTTAAAGAATCATTTTATAGCCTTCTCTTCACCCCATACCAATCATAAGGGCTGATTCTGACTGAGGGTTCTTCTACACTGCCAGAAATCTCAGGTGGAACTGTGTCATTTTCATACATCAGGAGTTTCTAAGGGGAAAATAGGGAGCAGGGGCTGGGGGTGCATGACATCTCACTCCTTCGGGCTCCAGTAGCCCAAAGAACCAGGATGGCTGTGGGGATTGACTCCTGGGACTACGGAAACAGTCCTGAGAGTCAATCCCCACAGGACCAGCACCAGCAAAGATCCGGACCTAAGCTTAAGGTCTGGATCTTTACAGGTGTCAAATCAATTGAGAGAACACTGGGATATCTCAGTTTTCTCCAGATCAATAGTTTGGATGCCTCACAGGATTTGGGTCATGTAGAAGGGCCCTGATACAACTTTGTGCTATTTTTGTAATATTTCAGTGATCATAACAAAAACTATTACTTAGTTCAGTATTTTGTTTTTGCTTATGGACTACATGGCTGATAAAAGAAGCCAGAGGGGGCTTGACAGAGTGGGTGAAGGTGGTGGTTACTGCCTCCTTACAGGAAGGAAAGTTTCCAGCGAGCTTAAAACAAGCTATTATAAAACCGCTGTTGAAAAAGCCATCACTGGACCCCACTCAATT